ATATGGTATGTCCCTAAATCACGCGTGATGTGGTCGGTAAACAGAAAAGAACCTTGATCTCATTCCTGAGGAGTTAATCCTGCAAACTCAAATCCTGGAGGGAACAAAATACAATGCTAACTCATGCAGTGCAGTGATCTACTCATGCGATGATCAACTCATGCAATGATTAACTCACGCAATTATCAACTCATGCAATTATCAAACACATACAATGATCAACTTGTGTAATTATGAACTCATGCAATGAGCAACTAATGCAATGATCAACTCATGGCATGATGAACTCATGCAATGATCAACTCATTCAATGCAATTATCAACTCACGCAATGATAAACTCATGTGATGATCAACTCATGCAATGATCACCTCATGCAATGCAAAGATCAACTCATGCAATGCAATGATTAACTCATGCAATGCAAAAATCAGCTCATGCATTGATCAACTCATGCAATGCTATGATCAACTCATGCAGTGCCAGCTCATGCAATGCAATGATCAACTCATGCAATGACCAACTCATGCAATGACCAACTCATGCAATGATCAACTCATGCAATGACCACCTCATGCAATGATCAACTAATGCAGTGCCAACTCATGCAAAGCAATGATCAACTCATGCAATGATCAACTCATGCAGTGCCAACTCATGCAATGATCAACTCATGCAATGATCAACTCATGCAATGATCAACTCATGCAGTGCCAACTCATGCAATGCAATGATCAACTCATGCAATGACCAGCTCATGCAATGACCAACTCATGCAATGACCAACTCATGCAATGACCAACTCAGGCAATGACCAACTCATGCAATGATCAACTCATGCAATGACCACTTCATGCAAATATCAACTCATGCAGTGCCAACTCATGCAATGCAATGATTAACTCATGCAATGATCAACTCATGCAATGATCAACTCGTGCAATGACCACCTCATGCAATGATCAACTCACGCAGTGCCAACTCATGCAATGCAATGATTAACTCATGCAATGATCAACTCATGCAATGACCAACTCATGCAATGATCAACTCATGCAATGATCAACTCATGCAATGCAATGATCAACTCATGCAATGACCAACTCATGCAATGATCAACTCATGCAGTGCCAACTCATGCAATGCAATGATCAACTCATGCAATGATCAACTCATGCAATGATCAACTCATGCAATGCAATGATCAACTCTTGCAATGATCAACTCATGCAGTGCCAACTCATCCAATGCAATGATCAACTCATGCAATGATCAACTTATGCAATGATCAACTCATGCAATGACCACCTCATGAAATGATCAACTCATGCAGTGCCAACTCATGCAATGCAATGATCAACACATGCATTTCGGTTGTCCTAAGAGGGTTCTTCGGGGGCAACAACTGTGGATAAAGAAGCAAAGAGGACACAACATAAATGAGTCAACATCATGACCTACGAGACAATGGCAACAGTCATCCGAGAGATAGCATTGACTTCTTCTCTTGTAGCCTATGAGAGCAGGGAACAAGAACTGAACTCAAATAAAAACAGTATAACGGAGGTACAGGCAAATCTCAGGTCCTGGCACAGAACCAAAAAGTCCCAATCCATCAGAATTCACAGCTGGTGAACACACACACATACACACAAAAACTGAGTGGCTGATGACAATATTCCGCCGGCTGCCTTTACTTTCCAGGAATTTACCTGGTACCCATTTAAAGCTGGATCAACCTGGGAGTCAAGGTCATGTTTGAGAAAGGTCAGGTTCCGACAGAACGTGCAGCCTTCAACTTCAGATCCGCAGGAACTACAACAGAGGTTCTCAACACATTTCGCCACGGCCCCCTTGTCGGGCCAACAACAATCAATTTCGCGGCACACTTGCCCTTAAAGCGGTTTAAATACTTAGGGAAAATAAGGGAAAAAACAGCGCAAATTTAATGTTCTGTTGTTTTTAATGCGATGAATGAAACTGTATAAAGGATTTTATCATTGCCTTTATATTTATAAGAAGTTTAGTTAATTTTACCATGAAATCACTTAATACAGAAAGTTTGCTACTGTGCCTGTTTTTATGAAGGCGTACGTTGAGAAAACACTGCAGCCTAGCAAAAAGCATTGATTTCTTAATACACCTGCACCCAGAACTCTTCTTGGCTTCCTTCACGGTATTTCTGTTTTAAACTGCTGTCTTTGCTTGTTTCAAGCAGATTTTGAAAAATTCTTCATTATTCCCGCAGCACCCAGTTTGAGAACTTCTGCACTACCCCATGGCAGCTCTCAGTTAGCTGTAGTATGATTAAACATGTATTGTCTTTCCCTTGCTGGCCTCGTGTCTGTCAGATCATCCATTGATCACTCTGTTATTGTTGAGTTATTATTGGCGTCCGGGGGTCGCCGTGGCCGAGCGGCTAGACGCTCGCCGCGGATCAGAAGGTCGTGGGTTCGCTCCCTGGCGGAGCCGGACTATTTTCAAAAATGACCTTGGCTCCCAGGTCGACCCAGCCTTGAGTGGGTACCGGGTGCAGTCCCGGGAAGTAGAGGCGGCCGGCGTGATGCTGACCACATCACCCATCTTGTGCCGATTGGTCTATAAAAATATAGGTCTAGCCCTATATGCCCTATACGCCTAAAGGCGTGGATAAGGGTCCTTTACTTTTTTTTATTATTATTGGCGTCCGCATTGTTGATTTATGACTACACGGCAAGTGATGTATGCCAGACTACACGGCAAGTGATGTATGCCAGACTACACGGCAAGTGATGTATGCTAGACTACACGGCAAGTGATGAATGCCAGACTACACGGCAAGTGATGTATGCCAGACTACACGGCAAGTGATGTATGCCAGACTACACGGCAAGTGATGTATGCCAGACAACACGGTAAGTGATGTATGCCAGACTACACGGCAAGTGATGTATGCCAGACTACACGGCAAGTGATGTATGCCAGACTACATGGTAAGTGATGTATGCCAGACTACACGGTAAGTGATGTATGCCAGAGAACACGGTAAGTGATGTATGCCAGTCTACACGGTAAGTGATGTATGCCAGACAACACAGCAAGTGATGTATGCCAGACTACACGGCAAGTGATGTATGCCAGACTACACAGCAAGTGATGTATGCCAGACTACACGGCAAGTGATGTATGCCAGACAACACGGTAAGTGATGTATGCCAGACTACACAGCAAGTGATGTATGCCAGACTACACGGCAAGTGATGTATGCCAGACTACACGGTAAGTGATGTATGCCAGACTACACAGCAAGTGATGTATGCCAGTCTACACAGCAAGTGATGTATGCCAGACTATACAGCAAGTGATGTATGCCAGACTACACGGTAAGTGATGTATGCCAGACTACACAGCAAGTGATGTATGCCAGTCTACACGGTAAGTGATGTATGCCAGACTACACAGCAAGTGATGTATGCCAGACTACACAGCAAGTGATGTATGCCAGACTACACAGCAAGTGATGTATGCCAGACTACACGGCAAGTGATGTATGCCAGACTAGTCTACATGTGATCAATCTTCTCGGCAGATGTTTTTGAGTCCGTTTAAAAAAAAGGTAAATTGGTGAACCAGCGCAATTGCACGCGGTTATAAACCATAAGTGCTCTGCCACCAGTACGGACAGGCTGATAAGAAACTGTCCACCCGTGTCGCCGTCCGCACGCAACTCCGTAGCTACAGCGACGTTCTTCCATTTACCTTAGAGTGTTAACTCTGGTACCCATTTCCTAGAGGCTGGGTGAACCCCGGGAACTGCCCAGTTTGGAACAAATGGTTGTGGGCTGCAGTACACATGTACACATGACACATGTACACAGGACACATGACACATGACACATGTACACATGACATCTAACAAATAACAGTCTATGGTTACCATCGTCAGATATGCAGTACTACATGCTGCACGAAACAAATAGCTGTGCGTTTTTGGTGTTTACATACAAGCATATTTGATAGACAACACTGCTCGACACTTACCCAGATGTTACAAACAACTCTATATTAGAAATGTTACTGTAACAACTTTTGTCCGTATGGTATTGTATTTATTGTCCTCCAAACCCTGAATGTTGTAGCGACAGTAACAAGTTTAAAGTACAAAATGAGTTAAAGTCCCACTTGTGAAACATTTACACAGATTACTATCAGAGATCAAAACATCTGGCCAACAGCTCATCTACTGTAGGATGACCCCACTTTGTTGTAGTTTCTATGTTTTCCGTGGCATCTTTTGTTATGATATTCCAACGATAATAAGTCTTTTCAGTGCCTGCGAGATGCAGAGTATCACTCCGCATATAAAACAGCACATCCTGTATCATGACAATACATGTACATCCAATCATGTCATGTTAATGAAGAAGATATTGCATGAATGTTGCACGTGTCTCGCCGTGTCGACTGATAATACAGAACCAACTGTCCACGTGATGAGGCCATTTTAGAGACCATTGTAATCTCTGATTAACACATAATTATCTTCCCCTGATTGGCTGGTCCCGTGTATTTATCTGCCCCTGTCTGGTGGCTGTTTGTCTCATTGGTGGAGAAAACTGGACAACATGCAGCCTCTCAGACTTGCGGTGTTTCTGGCTTTCATTGCTGGCCTCAGAGCTTACGGTGAGTAAACTATTGTGGCGCACACAATAGATATGCAGACAAGCACGTACCCATAGGTGCTCGCTACAATCCATAACATTTAGATATATGATGCTTTTTGACTGAATGCTATAATTACCGGCTGCAGGAGTTCGCTATCGAAGATCAGTGGATACCCAGAAAGATACTTTCGTGGCTATCGCCGTGGGAGGTTTGGAATGACAAAGCCGATGCTGCTAATTAAGCAATGGATGGCAAACTGCTCCTCCCCATGCCGCTTAACGGCAGATGTTGAATCTGATGATGATGACAATGATGATGATGAAAAACTCATGAATGTGTTTGTGTCCCCAACCCAGAACTGACGCGAAACCTGGCCGAGTTTTATTGTGTGGCCAACGGCAACTTCAGCGACAGCCAGCAGCTGGAGAAAGATGATGGCAGCCGTACCAATATCTATTTAAAGATGCAATCTGTAGTAGCATCTGCGTTGTCCAGGGTAAGTTGTCTCCAAGTTGTAGTAGCATCTGCGTTGTCCAGGGTAAGTTGTCTCCAAGCTCTAGTAGCATCTGCGTTGTCTAGGGTAAGTTGTCTCCGAGCTGTAGTAGCATCTGCGTTGTCTAGGGTAAGTTGTCTCCAAGTTGTAGTAGCCTCTGCGTTGTCTAGGGTAAGTTGTCTCCGAGCTGTAGTAGCATCTGCGTTGTCTAGGGTAAGTTGTCTCCAAGTAGTAGTAGCATCTGTGTTGTCTAGGGTAAGTTGTCTCCAACCTGTAGTAGCATCTGTGTTGTCCAGGGTGAGTTGTATCCAACCTGTAGTAGCATCTGTGGTGTCTAGGGTAAGTTGTCTCCAAGCTGTAGTAGCATCTGTGTTGTCTAGGGTAAGTTGTCTCCAAGTTGTATTAGTATCTGCGTTGTCTAGGGTAAGTTGTCTCCAAGTTGTAGTAGCATCTGTGTTGTCTAGGGTAAGTTGTCTCCAAATTGTATTAGCATCTGCGTTGTTTAGGGTAAGTTGTCTCCAAGCTGTAGTAGCATCTGTGTTGTCTAGGGTAAGTTGTCCCCAAGTTGTATTAGCATCTGCGTTGTCTAGGGTAAGTTGTCTCCAAGTTGTAGTAGCATCTGTGTTGTCCAGGGTAAGTTGTCTCCAAGCTCTAGTAGCATCTGTGTTGTCTAGGGTAAGTTGTCTCCAAGCTCTAGTAGCATCTGTGTTGTCTAGGGTAAGTTGTCTCCAAGCTCTAGTAGCATCTGTGTTGTCCAGGGTAAGTTGTCTCCAAGTTGTATTAGCATCTGGGTTGTCCATGGTAAGTTGTCTCCAAGCTGTAGTAGCATCTGTGTTGTCTAGGGTAAGTTGTCTCCAAGTTGTAGTAGCATCTGCGTTGTCTAGGGTAAGTTGTCTCCAAGTTGTAGTAGCATCTGTGTTGTCTAGGGTAAGTGGTCTATTCACCCAAATTCTTACAGTAGCAGCCACAGAAAATATCCCACACAATCACTAGTCACAAAATATTGTTACAGTGTAACAAACAAGCACACAAAATATTATCCGCACAATCATTAATCACGAAAACAAATGATACCACACAATGAGCAAAACTATTGACTGAGTTTTTTAGTCTGTTGTGTTTAACACCCAGTTGATGAAGACTGTGGTGGAAATGTTGGCTTGTATGCGTGGGCATCTCGTAGCTTCGCCCGGGATAGCCTCTGATTCATTCTGTACTAAAATCTGCCTTTGGGAAAATGCTGCTCAGTCTGTTTGGCGGTTTCATTGGCATGTCTTGTAGCAGCACGTAATCGGCTGCCGGCACCTCGCTGTTTAGTCTCTACAGCGTTTGGAATTTTACGAAGCTCATTTGTTTGTGATTTGCCTCGTCAGTTTGATTTTCTTGTAAAATAAATTTGCTCCTTCTGCTGAGAACAGTGTCATCTTTTCTCTCATGCTGAAAGGTTGGCCTGCAAACGTTAACTGAACTCATTCTTATGTATTCTATAACCACACTTTTTGACTTGTGAGTCCTGTAACAGCTGTTAGAATTTGAAAATCACACAGAATAGCGTGGGCTGAATCTTTAACTTTTTAAATAAATTATTATATATGCATAGCTTCCAGTGTTTCTTCAAATCCTTATGTTCAGTGCGATTATAAAAATTCAAACATTTGAAAATTACACATCCATTTAGCAGACGTATGCAGGCGTATATATCTGTATGATCTTGAAAACCAATATAGTGCTCTAAGTATGAACGGAGATATTATGAAATGTAATTTTAAAAAGAAAAATAACTATTGTAAGGGATTTAGGAGAAAAATCTATGTTCAGAAGGATATATCTCCAGCGAAAGTGTACTTTTAGTGATTGTTGCATTAATTAAAAGAAAGGCACATAAACCTTACCACCAATATCACTGTTAAATTAATCTTTGTATCTGTGTAACCCGTCTAGTTGTCACGGTTTAAGTGGAATTATCAGATAAATTACACATAAAAAAGAGGCAGGCAATGTGTGCTTTCTACCAGAAGGTAATAAGTAAGTACAGTAACTATTTTATTTCTGTGTTGCGAATGCGCATGGAACACCTAGTGCCACCTAAAGAACGGAGACATAAAGTTCGGTGTTGATGTCACCGAATGACACCTTTAGAAACCACCAGCTATATTTTCCTGCCATCCCATGACCATTTGTGACTTACTTATTGACTTCCCCTCGTAGTATAGAATTAGCACAGAATTATTACGATCACAGTCCATCCTGTGGATCTTCCAGTCCACCAAGAATATTAACTGTGCTCATGCATACTGTCACGACGGGGACCGTATCACGTGATATCAGGTTCAGATATAGACTTGATGAGGCTGTAAGCTATATCAAGTACTGAGGCCCCTACTGTTTTAAATTACATCAGCTTTCTAAGAAAACTTATATATACCATATATGCGTTTTTCAAATATATAGATAATGGAAATATATTGTTTAATTTTTGGTTAAAGAGATAGTAAATAATGTGTCTGCAGAATCAGAGAAATTATGTTATACAATTCTCTGAAAGGCTCTATTGAAAGAAACTTGCATTTGGGAACACAAGATTGATATATATTGAGGCCCATGTAGGTTGTGAGGCACTAAGATACAGTTTAGTTAGCTGGTACCTACATCTAGCACTGATACCTTCTTGCAATTTAATCATAATCTGTTGCCGCTTATACAAGCAAACTAAACATGCCTCGCAACTGACACGTAATAGCAGTCAACCAATATATCTGCACATTTACATTTGTATATGCATGTATTTAGATATACGTGCATGCATGTATGTTTGCATGCAAATATATAGTAAAGAATACCTTCCCAGGATTTCAGGCGTACCAGGCAAATAGGGCCTCCTAAATCTCCTAGGACTTGACCTGAATGGCTGAGACCACCTGGGAGCTAAAGTCATTTGTGAGAAAACCAGCTCTGACAGGACTTGCACCCATGTGACGCAGCTGAGCGTCTGTTCACTACACCCCGGCTGCTCCCTGTTTGTGTGTGTATAAGCATTATAACCCACCAAAACTGTATTACATTTGCTGATTGCAGCTGCCAGTGTTATATGTGGAACAGTACAACGACGGAGTCCTGACCCGAGCCTTAGTCCACATTGTGACGCAGGGAAACAACGGAGTTATCTTCCTGGATCAGTACAACCTGACGGGAGACTCACAAATCAAGTTTGTATCTCGTCAACTCACAGACATAAACCCCCCCCCCTTTTTTACCCCCCCCCCCCTTTTTTTACCCCCCCCCCCTTTTTACCCCCCCCCCCCCCCCCACCCCATAGTGTTGCTACTTCCCGACTGTTGTAAAATCATGTCCTCATTCTGTTGTTTAATTATCATTTGTTTCCCTTCTTTATTTGACTGGCTCTTGTCATCTTTCCTTGCTAAGTGTTTTCTATTTGTTTTCCATATTGCATTACATTGCCCCATGTTGTGTGTATATCATCATCAGGTGTGTAGTGGAAGACGCGCATGATCCTTCTTCTCAATGTTCTGCAATCTCCCACAATATGCATCTTGGGCTGTGTACGGAAAATTCCCCCACGAAGTCAACAATTCTCTCTCGTTGTCTTCCTCTGTCTTTTTACATAATATTGATTTCAATTATGTTTTAGTGTGTTTCGTTCATTTTAGTCAGTTAAATCAGTTCATAAAATTTATATTACAAAGAGAAGACAAACAGTCATTAAACATGTATGCGATAATTACAGATGTTCCCCGTCTGGGTTCCGGGGCCCCATTGGGGGGAAAACAAGAATAGACCCACCGCCTACCCAAAAGCATGTCGTAAGAGTCGACTAATTGGGAGCTTCCTTTGAAGTCGCAGTGCATCTGCCTGAGAGGCAGGGAACCACCAGTCTGCATTCAAGTGAATCAGATCTGTAAAACCGATGCACACGCAACACTCAGGTTCTGGAGCAGGACTGCAGTCCAGGAGTGGACGAACAACCAGAACTTTCCGCCAGTGTCTACAGCTAGTAAACGCGGAGAAGATTACAGATGTATGCTAGGTAAGTTGCAAATTTGTTATCTACAGATCTGGGAGTTTCGACATCGGCAAGATTAAGACGTTGACCCCCAGAGATCTTCATAGACAACAAGAATGTAAAGCCGCCTTTGAAAGGGTCGAACCATTTCTGTTTTCTGTTAACTACGAAGTCTGTGAACGAGCTCCAGTAGACAAGGTAATCTTTGTGTACGTAGTTTTATTTGTCATGAATAACAAAGACTGATAATGTTGCTAGTCCTATGCCACCGCAGGGATTTGCAGCTGTCCCTGGTGTTTGTCAATATTTACCTTAGCTAGACTGCAGAACTTGAAGCATCTAGTGTGGGGAGTATATTGATATCTGCATATGATCTTCCTGCATATAGGCTGGGGGTGATTGCGAACAACCAGAACAAGAGTTACCGGCTACAGCAGACAAAGTAAATGGTTAGTATACGGAGATTCCTGCATATAGGCTGGGGGTGATTGCGAACAACCAGATCAAGAGTTACCGGCTACAGCAGACAAAGTAAATGGTTAGTATACGGAGATTCCTGCATATAGGCTGGGAAGTGACTGAGCAACAACCAGCTCCAGAGCTACCGGTTACAGCTGACAAAGTAAATGGTTGGGATACGGAGGTTCCTGCTGCTATAAGTCCAGCAATGACGTCTTCTGGTGGTCCTCTCTGGGTCATCAGATTGCTCGAAGCGATGTTCTTAGTCTCACAGTAAAGATATCAACATTCAGAGAGAAGGCAAACTGTCCCCTCTGGTAGAAGACTATCAATCATAAATACTGTGGAGGCAGTTGTGCCAGATATCAAAGGTGCTCATTGCACTGAATATTATGTATGGTAGCAATGAGTTCCAAGAAGCAATTGTTAGTCATTATCTTAACCAGTGATAGTCTAGAGATAAACAGTACATAAAGGTCGCTGGACTCTAATCTTTATGGTCGTTGAACTATAATCCCTATGGTCGTTGGACTCTAATCCCTATGGTCATTAGATTCTAATCCCTATGGTCGTTGGACTCTAATCCCTATGGTCGTTGGACTCTAACCCTATGGTCGTTGGACTCTAATCCCTATGGTCATTAGACTCTAATCCCTATGGTCGTTGGACTCTAACCCTATGGTCGTTGGACTCTAATCCCTATGGTCGTTGGACTTTAACCCCTATGGTTGTTGGACTTTAACCCCTATGGTTGTTGGACTTTAACCCCTATGGTCGTTGGACTTTTACCCCTATGGTCGTTGGACTCTAATCCCGATGGTCGTTGCACTCTAACCCATATGACCAGCAAACTACAAATACACTTGACTCTCACCAACATGGTTGTCCATAGGATCAATCACATCTACTAGTTGTTGTTGTTGTTGTACTTGTACCCCACCAGGACACCACACAAGCGATAAACACCCGATGACACAATGTGCCACCATGTGGATGAGGATCACCCTTGGAGAGGTCCCAGAAACCGCGTTCAGCCATTAGACCATTAGACCATTAGATATTGCGGCCCCTGGCAAGAGCCAGAGTGGGGCTTCAGAAAATCGAAAAATTGCACTTTATAAGGGGATGGCTTCAATAGTGTAACATGTACCAGGGAAAGTCAATAATTAAGTCACAATTGGTTGTTTAAAAAAAAAAGCAGAAGATAAGAATAACTTGAAAACCGTTTATTTTCAACATAATTTCCAACAAGATTGCCATTTAGGCTATTCAACTGGCTACTGTAAAACTACGAAGAATAAACGCTATAAAGCGACTGTCCCAAGGAATTCGTCCGTTGCAAGAACTTTCGTTACTACGTCTAGTATGCTATTCAGTCTGAAAGGTCGGTGCCTACACGGTTCACTTCTTAAACCTGGGAGGCCAATCAGTGAAGTTAACTCGGGGGCCAAAATGGTTGAGAATGGGGCACAGCCGTGGGCCACAACCTCAACATAGAAAGATCATTACTATCATACAGTTGACACGTGTCCCGCGAGCCCGTTGTGGGTCTCTGCAGACCAGATCACCCCTCCCCCCCCCCCTACATTTATTCACATCGTAACCCTCCTGAAATTACTCCCACATTTGTTCACATTGTAATCCTTCTGAAATTACTCCAACATTTATTCACATCGTAACCCTTCTGAAATTACTCCCACATTTGTTCACATTGTAATCCTCCTCAAATTACTCCCACATTTGTTCACATTGTAATCCTCCTCAAATTACTCCCACATTTGTTCACATTGTAATCTTCCTCAAATTACTCCCACATATATTGACATTGTAATCCTCTTGAAATGACTCCCACATTTGTTCACATTGTAACCCTCCTAAAATTACTCACACATTTGTTCACATTGTAATCCTCTTGAAAAATTTGTTCGCACAGTAATCTTCCTGAGATTAATATTATTATTTTATTGCGCTGTGATTTTGTTTTTATCTGAAAAAGGTACCTCACACGTAAATATTTATCTATTTCTCCTCCTCCTTCTTCGTATTACTATGTTTCTTCTTCGATCGTTCTGTCAGAAAAACTTATAGCGGGAGCTTATTAGCCTTGATGAAAGCAATCCTGTAGTTGAGATCCCCCCCCCCCCCCCAGTATAATATACAGCTTTGTCTTGACTGTATCGGCGTCTGTGGCTTAGACGTTGTGAACGCGCTTCAAAATGTCGGGGTGCCGGGTTCGATCCCTGCTGCAGACGGTTTGTCTTGCGATGGTTTCGACCGTGGTACCGTGAGTCGACCGTCCAGAGGCAATGGCAAACTACAGGACGTACATTTGTCTAGAAAAACCACAACAGCGAGAAATTGCTGGGGTCGGTTCTGCAACGTCTTGTAATTCGTCTTGACTGTAGCTGCAATAAATATAAAGTCCTCTCTGCTAGCAGTATACAGTTTATAGTGCTGGAGTACACTCTCACTATCTTCATGTGCCAAGTGACTGAAACACATATCCGTGTTACCTACATCAAAAACGTCGGTGTAGTTCGTTGTGCCCCGTCATTGGTCCCAATATGATACACTGTTCTTCTTTACAGAGGTGAAGAGAGTCTTGTTTGGGTGAGAGGGGGGGGGGGGCATTTATTGTTGGTATTCAGGGGTATCCAGGGGTATCCCAGGGTATCAAGCCATATTTCTTGGATACTGGTTTATATGAAAGTGTTAATCTCCTGGTGAGTTACCTCGTTGTTGAAGCACTGCCATTATACTGTCTAGCGTGATATCTATCATTGTCGTGGAGCGGCGGGGGGAGGGATTGGATAAGCTTCCATAATTTACAGGTAATATCCTGCCTGTTGGCTGCTCATGGTGATGATGGTGACGGTGTTGACCTCTCTCTGTGTGTATTGATTGTTGACAATGTTGAGATGAAACAACAAAAATGTTGACAATGCGCTTTGATTAACGCCCCCCCCCCCAACCCTTTTCTCCCCCCCCCTCCCCCCCCCTTTTCCGCCTTTTTTTCAGCAACGAAAATCCTACAGTGCCACATTTAAGTGTAACGAATTAATTGTTGTCATCAATAGAGGGTCCCCGGAGAAGCCATCACTTGTACCGTACCAGATAAAGCTGCAGGGGTACAAGTAAGACCTGGATGTTGGTTTTAGTCACAGTGCCTTTCAACATGTCGATAGTTTATACTTCAGAGAGAGAAGGAGAGAGAGAGAGAGAGAGAGAGAGAGAGAGAGAGAGAGAGAGAGAGAGAGAGAGAGAGAGAGAGAGAGAGAGATGGAGAAACGTCAAAGAGGCTTGAAAGGATGAGGATATGGGTAGAAATCAGTCGAGGTCGTCTAGTTGGCTAGAACAATTCTCAAACGTCCAGATTATAGACGGGTTTGGTTTTTATTTTTTTTCGCTACACTGTTACCAGTGTCGTGGCTTTCTGTATGTGTCTTTTGCTACTCTTGTGACATGCGTAATAGTTTGGTTAATCTGTTTGCAGTTTTAAGGGTCTATCCATGTTTTCTTTGGTCTTCCTCTCATCTTTGGCCCAGATGGTCTGCTGTAGAATGTCTCATATGCAGTTTGATCTACGCCCGTGCTAGTTGTCCAGACTACTTCATTGTCTGTTTCAATCTGTCTAATTCATGCAGGTTCTAGTTCCAACCGTTTCTATAATGTTGCCTTTGTGACCCTGACCCTTGTGTCGTCGGTGACCTTTCGGAGACTGCCCATTTCGCCGGTAATTATTTTCTGCTCCTGTGATCTACTTACTCATGGTTTATCTTTAGCAGTGATAGCACAGAGAGGGGATGAAGTTACTATCAGTCATTTGTTGTTTTGCTGGAACGGAGACGTGTGGGTGTCTGAGCAATGGGGCCGGCTGATAATTCTAGCTTCTATCTCTCTTCTGTCAACACGTCTCTTCTCTGTGTGAATTTGTGAGTGTTTGACTGTAGCACCAATGACATGGAAAAAGAGTTCGTTAAGCGGGAACTAAAACCATGGCGTTCTAGCCCAGACAGGTTATATTTTGTATAAAGTCTAATCAGCAGTGCAGGCCTTTTTATAGACTCCTAAGTGCCAGATTTTTCTGGTAAATGAAGCTAGACAAATAAACTATGACCGGCATTTACCAGCCAGCTACGAAAAGATTGTTCCTAAGAAGTTGAAATATCAGAAGGAGAGTTCACAGCGAGAAGTACAGATGCAAACGTAATGATCAAGGTAAACCCTTGGTGCAGTGAGCAATCACAATCTTTTTTGTGCGTGTTTTGCGGACAGCGTTTGCCGCCTTTAAAGCAATATGTTGCTTCCCTGAATGTCTACAAGAAACTTTCATTGACTAACCCATGGCTCATCATCATCGTCATCATCATCTCGTTATGCCTAGTGGCACATGAGGCTTCAGAGAGGACTTTCCTTGCTTTCCTGTCCTGTGCAATCTTCAGTGTAGTTTTCCGTGACATTCAGGTGACCTTCTATCGTTCGTCTCCATGTTGTTTTTTGGGCGCCCCTGTTTTCTCTTTCCCTCTGGTGTCCATGTGAGAGCTGTTTTGGCAGGTATATCAGGATTCATTCCCATAACGTGGCCAAGCCATTTCCATCTTCTTTTGGTTATCATACTGTCTAGAGTTTCTTGATTTGTCTCTTGAAGTAGTTAGTGTTTAAGATTGTGTCTGGCCAAAAAAAAAATTATAATTCTACGCAGACATGTGTGGTGGAAGATGGACAGCTTGTGTGCATCCCCTTTGGTCATTCTCCAGCATTCTGCTCCATAAAGAAGAACTGGCAAAATGATGCTCGTGTAGAGTCTGAGATTTGTTTTACGTTCCTATGACTCATAATTCATACAAAATGAAAACTTTGTTTTGAATTCTGCCACACCTGATGATGTATCTTTCAGACTTGCGACAAAGCCATTGGAACTGGATCACTCCGAATATATTGGAAGTGGCCTCTGTTTTCCAGTATGAATTGGGACAGGGTCTCAGGTACTCCTCTACTGAATAGGGACTTGAATAGGTGGCTCGGAGTTCACAGTCAATGCTAGAACGAGACAATAGTGACATTATTCGAATGACAACATGGTGCAATATGAACACTTCCGCAACAATATAATAATTATTCCATAATGATATGACATTGCTAAAATAATTGAATAATGATAACTGTAACATGATGAAGCCATGCCAGTGAAAGCAGTAAAATAACTTAAATCGGTCTGTAACATTTGCTATTTCTGTTTCAGGTACCCCTTGGAAAATGCTCCTGCTAATTATGATTGTAAGTGTGATAACACAAGTGATTGAGGGAGCCAACTAAGATAACACAAGTGATTGAGGGAGCCAGCTGAGATAACACAAGAGGATGGGGAAGACAACTGACATTACACAAGTGATTGAGGGAGCCAACTGAGATAACACAAGAGGGTGGGGCCGACAACTGAGATAACACAAGTGACTGAGGGAGAAAACTGATATAACACAAGTGGCTGGGGGAAACAAATGAGATAACAAGTGGCTGGGGAAAAACAACTGAGATAACACAAGTGGCTGGGGGAAACAAATGAGATAACACAAGTGGCTGGGGAAACAACTAAGATAACACAAGTGACTGAGGGAAACAACTGAGATAACACAAGTGACTGACGGAGACAACTGAGATAACACAAGTGGCTGGGGGAAACAACTGAGATAACACAAGTGGCTGGGGGAAACAACCGAGATAACACAAGAGGCTGAGTGAAACAACTGAGATAACACAAGTGGGTGAGGGAAACAACTGAGATAACACAAGTGACTGGGGGAAACAACTGAGATAACATAAGTGACTGATGGAAACACCTGAAATAACACAAGTGGCTGGGGAAGACAACTGAGATAACGCAAGTGACTGACGGAGACAACTGAGATAACACAAGTGGCTGGGGGAAACAACTGAGAAAACACAAGTGGCTGGGGAAGACAACTGAGATTACACAAGTGGTTGAGGAAGACAACTGAGTTAACACAAGTGGCTGGGGAAAACAACTGAGATAACACAAGTGGCTGGGGGAAACAACTAAGATAACACAAGTGGCTGGAGAAGACAATTGAGATAACGCAAGTGGCTGGGGAAGACAACTGAGATAACGCAAGTGGCTGGGGAAAACAACTGAGATAACACAAGTGGCTGGAGAAGACAACTGAGTTAACACAAGTGGCTGGGGAAGACAACTGAGTTAACACAAGTGGCTGGGAAAGACAACTGAGATAGCACATGTGGCAGAGGGAGATAACTGAGATAACGCAAGTGGCTGGGGAAGGCAACTGAGATAACGCATGTGGCTGGGGAAGACAACTGAGATTACACAAGTGGCTGGGGAAGACAACTGAGATTACACAAGTGGCTGGGGAAGACAACTGAGATAACACAAGTGGCTGAGGAAGACAACTGAGATTACACGAGTGGCTGGGGAAGACAACTGAGATTACACAAGTGGCTGGGGAAGACAACTGAGATAACACAAGTGGCTGGGGAAGACAACTGAGATAACACAAGTGGCTGGGGAAGACAACTGAGATTACACAAGTGGCTGGGGAAGACAACTGAGATTACACAAGTGGCTGGGGAAGACAACTGAGATAACACAAGTGGCCGGGGAAGACAACTAACCCAAGTGACCGAGGGGAGCCAACTGAGATCATAACAGCGGCTGAGGCAGACAACTGAAACAATACAAGTGACTGAAGGAGACATCTGAAACAATACAAGTGACTGAAGGAGATAACTGAAACAATACAAGTGACTGAAGGAGACAACTGAAACAATACAAGTGACTGAAGGAGACATCTGAAACAATACAAGTGACTGAAGGAGATAACTGAAACAATACAAGTGACTGAAGGAGATAACTGAAACAATACAAGTGACTGAAGGAGACATCTGAAACAATACAAGTGACTGAAGGAGATAACTGAAACAATACAAGTTACTGAAGGAGATAACTGAAACAATACAAGTGACTGAAGGAGATAACTGAAACAATACAAGTGACTGAAGGAGATAACTGAAACAATACAAGTGACTGAAGGAGATAACTGAAACAATACAAACGACTGAAGGAGATAACTGAAAAAATACAAGTGACTGAAGGAGACAACTGAAACAATACAAGTGACTGAAGGAGATAACTGAAACAATACAAGTGACTGAAGGAGACAACTGAAACAATACAAGTGACTGAAGGAGATAACTGAAACAATACAAGTGACTGAAGGAGAAAACTGAAACAATACAAGTGACTGAAGGAGATAACTGAAACAATACAAGTGACTGAAGGAGATAACTGAAACAATACAAGTGACTGAAGGAGATAACTGAAACAATACAAGTGACTGAAGGAGATAACTGAAACAATACAAGTGACTGAAGGAGATAACTGAAACAATACAAGTGACTGAAGGAGATAACTGAAACAATACAAGTGACTGAAGGAGATAACTGAAACAATACAAGTGACTGAAGGAGATAACTGAAACAATACAAGTGACTGAAGGAGATAACTGAAACAATACAAGTGACTGAAGGAGACATCTGAAACAATACAAGCGACTGTTGAAACGACTGAAACATTGCAAGTGATTTGAAGAGACAACACCAAAATATGGCGGCAGACTGAACTCAATGATCGTGTTGCTGATACTAAACAAATGTTTAAATTAAAACATTACACACCGAGCACAATTAAGCTAATTAAATTGTTTACTAGACTGTCTGTGCGTGTGACAAAACAAAGTATTTAAATACTTTCAATTTCTTCTAATACGAATTCCTGTCTGGTAGCATTTGTCCACTTCTCCTCTCATGTTGTTGGGTCCTGACATCCACGTCTATGCTCAAAAACATTTGCTTAGTTAATGAGTCAGCTCGTTATTAGTAAATTCATTTAGTTTCCATCTTGACTGTGTACTCATTGCTCCAGAACTGCTCTGTTCCTTCGGAAATTACATAAAATGTTGTTTACTTCCTCATTTGCATATTAGTGGTAATATCAGTCCTAGCAAAATCCTGGACCTCGCACAAGCAAAGTATAAGCATAAGGCAGCTGTGAGGTGTTGAAAAAGAGACATAAGAGTCTCCTATGAGAATGCAGATCCCCGGTAATGCAAACAGTCAGTTACGAAAGCCGGCATTGTACACGCAATACTGCATAAGTAACTCACAGAAAGGTCACTGTGAGAAACTCGAGGCTTCTCCGGGAGTATTTATAGCATGGATCTCTGTTATTTTAAACCAGTGTTTCCTAAAGTGGGTACTGGAACGGTCCAGGGGCGGTAACAGTCTTAGCTGCAGCTGGGAGGCCTTGACTGAAAAAAAAGACAGCGGGAGAGAGAGAGAATAAATTAAAAGAGAAATCGTTATGATAAACTTGTCTTCTCCCTAATGCACTTCTCCGACTAAAGTCGTTATCACAATGTGGGACGTCAGGTCCAATATACTGTGACAACAGAGACAAAAGTATCGACTACTGTTATAGGTATGGGAGCCAAGACAAAAGTATCGACTACTGTTATAGGTATGGGAGCCAAGACAAAAGTATCGACTACTGTTATAGGTATGGGAGCCAAGACAAAAGTATCGACTACTGTTATAGGTATGGGAGCCAAGACAAAAGTATCGACTACTGTTATAGGTATTGGAGCCAAGACAAAAGTATCGACTACTGTTATAGGTATGGGAGCCATGTCCGCCTAAAACTAAAACAAACCGAATTCACAGGGACCGTAAACTTTCTCTCACCCTCACAATAACAACAAAACAATGTGAGAAAATCAAACAGTGTTTTATAATTACCAACGGTCGGTTTTTTTCAATAGGCACCAGGCTTATCAAGACATCATACTGAAAAAGAAAATCTAATCAAAGTGCATACAGAGGATCGCTGTAATTAAAACAAAAACTGGATGGAGTATACTGGGGAACCTGTCAAGTCAACACTGGAACATGTAGGCTTATGGTGGAATACACTTTAATCTCATGCGCTGATGTGGCGAAAATAAGCTACTCAAACTTTTACAAGTTTGAAAATATGGGCTTACAAATAACACAGAGAGAAGCAATCCGGTAAAAAGTTGAGAAAATTGTTGTCTTGGAGCTCCTTGAATTTGTTAAACTGTACAAATCCCTTTTGTTTAGTCTGAAAAGCTTAGGAAGCTTTTAAACCCTCTACCAAACAATAGATTTTAAGAACAATGTGTTTAGGGCTGGGGGAGGGGGAGGAAGAACGATTAGGAAAAAGTATACAAAATGTGACATAACATGCATATATACAAACTGACATAATGATGTGTGCAGCTTTCGCACCACAACAATGGATTAGCTATCGATTCTTATCCAGCACACTTCTGGAAGTTCCATGAATAATCTATATTCCATTCTTATCCAGTTGCAGTTTCTGTAAGTTGCATGAATAATCTATGTTCCATTATTATACAATGCAGTTTTGGAAGTCTCGGGAACAATCCATGTTAACACTCCCCCCCCCCCCCTCCTCCCCCCCCCCCACCCCCCCCCCCCCCCCCCTCCCCCAAAAAAAAATAATAACTGAGTCAGTGCAAAGAGACGTTTTCACTTTATATACTCATAAATCAGTAAACGTCTAATAAAAATTTAGTAAATCTACATGACACACCTGAACTGCAACACAGAGGCACACTCAGTGTCGGCAGGGGAAGCTTGTAGCAGCTTTAGATCAGCGGCAAAAAAACATTGCAGGGAAAGCTTGCACCAGCTTTAGATCAGCGGCAACAACACAGCAGGGAAAGCTTACACCAGCTTTAGATCAGCGGCAACAACACGGCAAGGGAAGCTTACACCAGCTACAGATCAGCGGCAACAACACGGCAGGGAAAGCTTACATTAGTTTCACATCAGCGGCAACAACACGGCAAGGGAAGCTTACACCAGCTACAGATCAGCGGCAACAACACGGCAGGGGAAGCTTACACCAGCTACAGATCAGCGGCAACAACACGGCAGGGAAAGCTTACATTAGTTTCACATCAGCGGCAACAACACGACAGGGGAAGCTTACACCAGCTACAGATCAGCGGCAACAACACGGCAGGGAAAGCTTACATTAGTTTCACATCAGCGGCAACAACACGACAGGGGAAGCTTACACCAGCTACAGATCAGCGGCAACAACACGGCAGGGAAAGCTTACATTAGTTTCACATCAGCGGCAACAACACGGCAGGGAAAGATTGCACCAGCTTTAGATCAGCAGCAACAACACTGGACTGAGCAGACTTTAAGTAGTCCAGTT